TTGAAATAGAAAATAGAATATTTTTGCACAATGCCAACACTGTTTTTCCTGTACGTTTTCCACCACCATGTCAAAATAGCATTGTACTGCTTTGTGGGACACATCTATATATTCATATAATCACTTTAATAATCCACATTTTAATCAGTACATTCCATCCTGCTGACTTTGAATAGTTTAGATTAGGAGAAAGGATTTTTCACAAACTATTTGAATTAAACAAATTATGTTATATGCAGTAAGCCTACATTTTCACAAATTTTTAATTCTATTGTTTTAAGAAGAGCAACTCTAGTTTTTTCCTTTGTAGCATAATTCATTGCATTTTTACCTTGAAACAGCTACACATTCAAACAAACATATGCACACACGTCGCTCTTACTCTGGCCCATGATGTTTTGATCACTAATCTGTTTCTCGGAAACTTCCCCTAGGAATTCCTCATGACCCCTCGTAGTGAACAAGTAATACACTCATTTTGATTTGTGTTCCCCAATTATCCTCCACCTCCAGCAGGGACACAGGGATAAGGTATTACAGTGTGAGCCACATTTCATCCTTTATAGAAGTGCCCTGTCTTGGAAACCAAACAAAGCAAAGCCATTATGTTCGCAGTGGAGGTACCTATAACTCAGCTGAAGCTGGACACATGGAGTTCTAAACATTGGCTGCATGCCTGTGAGGGGCATCCTACTGTTAGGCCTCAGTGATGGAAAGATCAACCTAGAGGGAGGGAGGAGAGAGAGCCTGCACTGTTCACTATTCTTTGCAGTGAGGCAGTTAGCAGGGCATCGCCTCATTGCTGTGGTAACCATTTGGTCCGCCTGACAGGGGTTGCCAAGGCAATAAAACAAAGGGCATGATTGTTGGAAGTAGTTTCCTCCCTCGAAAAGAGTGAGAGAGGGAGAGAGGGAAAAAAACGAGAGAGAGGGGGAGAGAAACTCTTTGTCACTGGTGAAGTTGGAGATTGACACAGGATCCAGTGATTCTACCAAAACTGGCCTGGTCGGGTAAACTGGGCCCATGGTACGGTTTTGAAATTAAATCACACATTTAAAAACTAAAAACCACTACATACTCAACTTTTGACATTGCTCTACCCCTCAAATGAACTTATCTAGAGCTTTCCACACTCAAAAAAAAACCCTCACCTTATTTACCAGCACTCCACAAAACTTGATATCGTCACACTTAACCTATACACATCCCCTTTTTACACTTCTACAATGGCCACTCCAGGCTCCTTTGAGCTGGTGATGGGGGCCCAATATAGAGCCCACCACCCATGAACGAATCCATTGTGCCGCCAGCCCATGGAAGGACAAGAAAAAGCATCTGCGACTAATTTAACCTGGATTAACTTTACTTCAAAAAGAGTAAAAATTTGAGTTTTGAACAGTTTTTAAGTGACACAGAATTTACATAACAAAGAAAGTAACCCAAAGACTGTAAAATACTCTAAAAAGATGTTAAGTGAAATGATAATTACTAATAATGGCCCTGGTAAGCTTTCTCTTTGTTCACAATTGAAGATAAATCCACTTGTTTGGTCGTCATCTGAAAGTTAGCGCAGTCTCTGGGAGATTCTGCATCCTCTAATCTCTGGATGGCCACGACAAATGTGTGGACTTACCTGTGAAGAGAAGGAGGAGGAGGCCAAAGAGCGTCAGTTGTGGAGGAATGTCAGGAAAACTGTCGCCTGTAGAGGAGGTCTTCCTCTCCACCTTCATCTTGTGTCCTGGGCAGAGTCTTTCTCCCACTTAGTGAGCATGGTTTAACCACCCTGGGCACGTCTCTGCGGCTCAACACTCTCTCCACAGCCTGCCTGCCTGCAACACTGGCCTCTGCCTGGTCACACTGAGCCCCACTCTCCTCACAGCACCCCATTCACATCCAACAACAGCCAACTGTGTGTGTGTGTGTGTGTGTGTGTGTGTGTGTTTGTGTGAGACAGAGACATAGTGTAGATGAACTCCTCTCTCCCAGTCCACATTGCCCTTTTAGAAAGGAGCTCAAAGAAAAATAGCGTTTGCTTTTTTAGGCGGGTTTATCTGAAAGTGTCTGTTATTTTTCAAAGCTTTTTTTTTTACACTTAAACCATAAACCTTTAATGTGTTCAATTCAATATTGGGTCGAGCTACTTTGCAAGAATTCCTGCTGGGAAGAACTACTGTACTTCAGCCAAGAGGAACCCACTTAAAGCTCTGAAATGTCCGAGTTTGAAAAGAAAAACAACTCACTTGCCCCCCGTCTTTGGCTTTTGTCACATTGTGCAAACTCCTCTCTGGACTGGAGCCCCACAATAAACCCACAATTTTGTCACTTGGCAACCAACCCTGCTGTTGACCCACACAAGCAAATACAGCCTTGAAGCATTTTGTTATGGTACCTTTCAATTGCATGATTCATGGTACTGTACCTTCTGAGAGCTATATAGTAACATGAGCAACAAATGAAGGAAACTAATAAAAACAAAGTTTTTGTACTTACTTTGTCCTCTAGGTGGTGTGGAAGCTACATGAAGTCGGTGAACTGATGGACTGTTCAGGGAGGAGGCCATGCTTTATGCTCATGAGAAGCTACCAACAACAGTGTTGGCCAACACATTAAAGTTGTGGCTTGTTAATAACACGTTTGCTCTTTTTGTTTCCTGTCATTTAAATATCAAATGCGCATGTGAAAAACACATGGGTCAAAAGGTGTAAGTTATACAAAAGGAAAACTTAGGTGACACAAAAAATACAGGAAACCTGACAATAAACAAAATGTGTAGTTTGAGGATTTTACTGCTTTGGCTCTTTCACCTGACTGCCAGTCAACCATGAAATTTCTTGTCAGCTGTGCTGACACTTTTTATTTTATCAGACGTGATGCCATGTGTAAAATTGCCATATATTACATCAGTCATTTTATACGGCATTAACTTCAAGGCATTGATTAGTCAGTTGTTATAAGTCATCCCTCCCACTTCGGGAAAGCAGCCTTTTGTTTAGAATTTTTAGAGCATTTTGTTTGACAACAAAGGGAGGTTTTATGCAGAGGAGGAAGCATGGTTGTTAGACAGCTCTCCAGTTATGTGGGACCAGCTGCTGCTCACTACCACCACTCTCCCAGGGCTTAGACTCCCGTGTGGTGGACCATCAAAGGCAAACCTCTCCCCTCCACCTCTGCCCTTGCAAAAAAGTAGCGCCTCCCTCTTCCTCTCATCTTCTAACACACTCTAAATCAAGGGGGACTCTTTCCAGTCAATAGAGGAAGAAGAGCGAGGGAGAACAGACGGGGCCTGTGAGTCACAGTCAGTTTGGGTGCGGGTGCAGTGACAGAAGCCATTGTCACGTTTAGTCCACAACAAAACTGATGTCATCCTGTGTGACTCAGGCATACAGATGTGACTAAATGTTTTCACAATCACATCTTTTTGACTGGGATCCCTTTAGTTTACAGTGTATGTGATGGTGATCTATCAGGTGCTTTTTATGCAGAGGTGGTAATAGAGTCCCCTCATTACTTTTAAGTTCTGTAACCTACTTAGTATAAAAGATACTGCATCTCCTAAGATGGCAAGGCCAGTGGCATAACCACTGGAAAGCAGATAATTGTGCCCCCTGCTGTTTGTCCTGGCTTTTTCATCTCTAATTATCACCCAGGAGACCAAAAAGATTTTTCTCTGACAAGCTGTCTGAGAAAGAGAACAAACCAACCAAGCAGATCTTTCATATGATCGACTCCTAAAATAGTCCACATTCGTTTAATAAGTTGTAAAAGGAAGGGACATACCTATTATTTTCTGCTTCAGCGTTCAGAATTTGTGTTTGCTTTACAAACTCAATCACATGACTTGCATGAGGATCTATTAAGACCCTAACCAACATGATATTCAGACTTTTTTTCTTTTTTGTCTTTGCCCTCACTCTCAGAATTCAATCTACAGCACCAAGTGGGTGTTGTTCTATGTTTGGAGGTGTGCAGAATATTGATTGTTCACCCACAGTCATTAAAGAGACAGGAGAACGTGGCCATGGCACCTCTGGGACTGAGTAGGAGAAAAGAGAGAATAGGTCCATATAAAACCCATAGAGGATATTTATGAGAGCGTGGCGGAGGAGGAATGTCAGCCTGAGACGGAAGTGCTTTGCACTCTGTCTTTGCAAAACCACTGAGAGCAAGTCTCATGTTGGCTGTCTGTCTTCTACAGCTGGTGACACAGCCAACATCCCGTGTGTGTGTGTGTGCATGTTTGTGAGCGACACAGAAAATTAGTGACATGAGTGGGATCTGCATACTAAAGTATGAGCTGTGTTTTTTCTGTGTGAGAATGCATGTACAGTTTGAGTTTGTGCAGCATGCTGTATGGCTCAGATGTGTGTAGGTGGGCTGAGTGGGAGCACTGGGAGACTGAAGATGCGCAAGCCTGTTTCTCATAAAGTGAACAAGACTGCCTGGTCAAATTAAGCAAAAATAGTGTTTTTCTTTTGTGATTTAAACAGCCTTAGTGCCATAAAGGTAGGCCAAATATTGCAAAATACCCAACAGGTAGACGCATTACTTAGTTGTGTAGGTGACAATGCACCTGTTGATAGGATGAAAACATTTTATAACAGAATACATCCAGACTCTGCAACTGCTACAATGTCATTACTTAAATGACCCGATTTGATAGCTATTTTTAGTAGTAAAAACAAAATTAATTTGTCTAGTGTAACTGGTAGTTGAAAATATGAGAAATGCAGTTTTAGGTGATGAATTATTCATAATATTCCGTGTGCAAGAGAGCCACACAGGAGAAAAAGCTTCATGAAAACTGCTCTATTCAATTAGCAGCCCTGCTTATGTTGCAGTGACAAAAGAAAAATGAGCAGCTCTGGCTGCTGAAATGTTTTACGAAAATCTCAACTTTCTCCCTGTGAAGAACAGAGATGGAGGTGACAGATGCTATAAAAAGGTGCCGTTTGAAACAAACACACACTTAACTTGAATTAATGACGTTTAAAACAGACATGTCACCGTATATTTAAGGTGGATTTATTAGTGTAATGTCATGACTCTACAGCAAAGTTCAGCAATGTACTATTCAATTATTTTAATAGCATGATGGCTCTGCAAACTCTGACAATGGAATTTCACACACCTGATTTAACAAGTCAAACAAGTCAAATCCACCAACACAACAACAGAGCATATTGAACAAATGTCTCATAAGGTAAAGCTGTACCAAATGCATCTGGAAAAAAAAACTGTAATTACTGCATGCTTACTGTTGTGGAAGATCAGATTTATAGAAAATGCCTGAAAAGGTGAAAAGAGAACTTACTTATAATGTGATCAAAAAGATAACAAAGACAATTGCAATCTGAATTAAGTAACTCTGAATAAATAGAACATACATAGCTACTTCTCTTTTGATATTTTTGATGTTTTAATAATTTTTGTAAGCAAGTCAAATAGGTAAATAATAGTCAAGATACAAGCACATTGGAAAACAATGCAAAATAACAATTAATTGAAGCCACTAATTATAAGTCAAGTGCTGATGCATACAGGGTTTATACACAGATGGTATGAACTGATCCATCCAAAATAAGCCCTGTTAAGCATTTAGAGGACATTCATTTTCACATTCACAGATCATCATCTAAAAACTAGCACACTACCAGAAGTTTCACAAGTACATGCAGTGAGTTGCAAATTCTGGGTCAAAGACATCCGTACTGCTGGAGAAGCAGAGACGGAGTGTTAAAGTTCACAAAATTCACACAACACACCCTCAAAACTGTCGGCTCATTTTCTACTGCTAATTTGCGTTGAAAAAGAAAATGACTCCTGGGGGTAAAAAGGTGTGCCTGAAAGCAAAGCCCAGCCAGCTAATGCCAGCCATCTCTCGCTACCTTGCTTCCCCTCTTTCTCTCCATCCAGGTCAGGACAGGGGCGTCACTGCTCTGGCACAGATGTGTCGTCTCCCTCTACTGCCCCCGATCCTCCTGTCTCTAAAAACAGAAATAGGCAAGGCGTAGTTTAGCACCGCAGAGGCTGGAAAAAAACTATTTCTGTATAGATTCTTGTCGTCAAGGTTAACGGCTCCAATACATAGTCACAAGCTGTGAGGTCACTTGTGGGTGGATCTATTAAAAAACACACTTGAAGAAAACTTGAAACTCGAGTTGCTACTTAAACAGAAGTGAAACTTTTCATTATGCAAATATCTGTTTGTAGAATTTACTTTTTTAAAGTTTGTAAGTATTTTGCAATGCTAAGAACTTGACACAAATTATGAGTTTAAAAAAACAATTCTGTTGTGAAAAGGGGGTCTCCCCCAATGGGAGGTGCTTGTAATGCTCTGTTCCAGTCTGACAGGTCCATTAATTCTGCTTGGTCCTCTGAAAGCATATACTGTACCTAATGCACCTGGAGCTATAAATACATCTCCTACATAAGGATGCAAGCCATCCAGCAAGTGGGTTAGGGAGAATAATTGACGAGGATCCCTTGTGTCAGCCACCTTGTGTCTTACATCTTAAAAGAACCTATCTGGTTAGCATGTTTCAGAAAAGAAAATCTGATGTTAATATCTGGACTTCTAAGTTAAATTTTATACCATGCCGACTATTTTCTTTAAGCATTGTCCTTTTACAAATCAAATCTAAATGTAACCTTCGCTTACATTGAAGCAGTAGACGCCATCAGGAGAAAAAAAAAACAGCAAAACCTTTTTGGACTGCATTTTCAAAACGTTATAATCGTCCACAGTTGTATCAAATAAAAATAGGAAAACGTGTTTACCGTTGTAAGAATGTAACTTGACATTTTCCAAGTAAAATGAACTCGGACAAAAGTCTTTTTCTCTCTAGCGTGTTAACAGCACATCTTCAAGCTGATTCATTTATAACCACTTTAACAGTGGAAATAATTGAAACATTCAATCATCTGTTGCCGGAGATGCTATGGGGTAATTAAATGAGTCACTCAGTTATGTACTGTATTAATCACACTTGGGATAACCCATAAGGGGCTCTAAAAGGTGTATTTAATTATGTATAGCTTTTAAATGTTAAATCAGTTTGTGTTTCTACATTGTGCTCAAGTGATTCTGCTCTGAGAAAAGGTCACAGTCACAAAATCTTCCCTCTAAGATCTTAAAATGGGACACATGTAGAACCAAAAAAGACTAATGCTCAACCAACAACAAGCATAACATCCTTAAAACATCAAACTATGCTAACTTATTTAATTGCATTATGCTTAACATTTGCTTGCTAATAGGATATCAAATCTTGAACTGCTTTAACTCCGTCTCACAAGACTTATGCTCTCTATCACTTACCTTTTATTACCTACTGTTGTTACAGATTGTGATGGGAGCCTCTGTTACCATCCTTATAGTCACTCACCATAATGCCCTTTTTAAGAGCATTATGTGACCTACTCTTACCCTATAGTTCTACACAACTGACCTGAGTCCCCCTGGCTGCTGTTGAGCACATCCCCAGTGCTGCTCACCTCCTCCCCTTCTGCTTTGTCCTCCGGCTTCATCTTCTTACGGGTCATGTGGCCACGGAAGCCAGCCTGGATCTTGGCGGCAGCCCTGTTGGCCTCAGGGTCATCCAGGGGGATGTCCATGATGTCTTCCTCCTCCTGGGGCCGGCTGCACTCCTCCTGCTTAGAGGACCAAAAAGTTGCAGTTTATAACAGAAGGGCAGCGTATTACCATAAGATGTTGTTTTTTTCCTGGAAGATTGGTGAGAGAATCTAACCGTCAACAGATTGCGACACCATATTTTGTTAACTGTATACGCTACAACACTATCTTTTAGACAGCGAGGGATGTGTGCTTGTTGCTGAGTGGCTCACCCTCATTACATGACTTCAAGGGGCTCTCAGGAGGTCAATAACCCACATTGCCTCCTTTGTTCTCTCCCCTTCTCCTCGTCATGTACCATATAATACACTGCTGGCAAAAACATGTCTGAGTCAGCCTATTTTGTAACGAATGATCATTCTCTGCAACGGTCGATTATAAAATGTACTTGGGTGATTATAAAATCAAAATACAGCAGTCTGCCTTTTCTCGTAAGAAACAGGGTTGGTGTAAAAAGATTGCTTCATGTTTGATAATCAATTTATATCCAATTCTTATTATTTCAAATAAACTATGCTGGTATGGTTAAAGAAAGCGTCCCAACAAGGAAAAAATGACTTGCTTGCTTTGCAACCTGGGCCGAAAAGGATGACCCAGCGGAAATGCTGCTGTAGTCAACACCAGCAGCTCATTCAGCAACTAAAAGTACAGCATCCACTGTCCCAAAGGAAACATGGGGTGGGCGGAAGAGAAAATCTGGCTTGTCATAAAGTGTCAGTGGAATAGTGCCATGGCTGTCGACGAGTTATGTAAACACCAATTCAAATTCTTTGGCGAACACATATCGGCTACACCCCGTGATTTGCTTATGGAAACAGATTGACATTTCACACAAAGGCAGCCCACAGCATGAGCCCACTGTCATCCCACTACCTTGGTGAAGCAGTGCATCATGTCTCCAGTGAAACCCCTCCAGTGTAGGAGTGTGACCACCCACCTGTTCAGCCAGCATTCATTAGCCTCTCTGTCTGACTGCTCACTGAGCAGCCAGAATTCAGCTTTTATTGCAGCAGCAGAGATACAGGACTGATGCACTGGATTTCGCTGGCTACACACCTTCTGGATCGTTTTTATTACCTCAGGATGCTTAGACTTGATCTGACACAAATTGATTTGAAATATTCTGATGCAAATCTCATGTAATATTATCCAATTATGATGAAAACAGCTTGAAAGCTTTGTAAAACATGACTTTATGTGGTCATTTGCCAGTGGAAAATGTACCATCTGTGATCATTATTCAAAAGTTTACCTTAATATATGTTAGTCTAGTAAAAGGAGAAAAACAACAACACACACATGGCTGTATGTTAGTCTGAGGGTAGCCAAGCACAAGTAAATATTATTACCTAACAAACTGTATTACCCAATTAATTATACGTGCATCCATCTACCAAACTGATTGGCGCTTAAAAATAAAAAAACAAAACAAAAACAAAACTGGAATATATTTTAAAAAAGTTAATCTGAAGCTTCTACTTACATTGTGACAGTCCATGTCTTACTCAGAGATGACTTGAGTCTTCAGGTGAGATGACCTAGTATGAATTGAATGCCTCGATTTCTATGTGGACCAAGCAAAACTATCTTTAAACGAGTCTCGGTTATAATACAGATGCTTCACTGGCTCTTACTAACAATCACTGTATGTTCAGTCACACCCGTGCACGCACAGTGAGGGAGAGACATACAGTCAGAAAGAGAGGAAGAGAGAAAGAGGGAGGGAGGGGAAGAGAGACCTCCTACAAACATGGCAGCATGTGTTCCATCTTTTCTGTCTCATTAAGGCTGCTGACCTACTGTGTTCACTGTTACAGACCTTTACCAGACCTCAACATTCACCGAGCGCAGATTGTGTTAGACTTTAGAAAAGTGACTGAAATACCAATTCAGTGATTTAAAGTTTGAAAGTTTTTGACACAAGTGAAAATGATGATATATACAGTCTGGATATAAATGAGGAAAAACACAAAGTAACTACACCATGCAGAGAGCATCATAAAACAAGTTGCAGTGTTACAATAATAAACCACAAATAACAACAGATGACCAACATAGAAATACTATGTAAAAGCCAGATGGCCATAAAACAATAATTGCTGACTTTCAAATTCTACTAATAGTGTAAAAATAAAACAGCATAAGCATCTTGGACTGTTTTACACTAGGAGGTGTTGTACATTTATTAGAGGCAGAGTGAGCTAACAGCCCTCTCCATCCCTCTGATCCCAGCTGGTATGACCGCCCACACTCCTCTGCCAGCCTCAGAGACAAGACGGAGAGGGAGAGAAACAGAAAATGTCCATTTATCTGAGTTATATCTCTGACATTAACGCTCTCCTGCTGGTTTTCCAACCATTCAAACAATATGTTAATTTAGCCTCACACCTAATTACACTAAGCTGACTTACTGCATTAATCATTTTACTTTGTTAGTGTGTAGGAACGACAACCACAGTGTAATTAAATTTGCTGTAATCACTGATGATATAGTTAGTCTGCTCATCTTACCCTAATCATTATGTATCTAAACACTTTATTTATTCGATAAGAAGATTAGAGTATAGGAACATCACTGTTGGCACATTAAAATAAAACAAAAAAGACTAGACAAGGCATGTGAGATATTGCAGCTAGGTCACTGTTAGAATAGATGGCCTATTTAGTGTACAGCTTTGTGAGTCAGTTAGAAACTGCTATTAAAGGTAGATTACTAATACAGATGGTGCATAGCAACTATCAGCATCACCATCTCCTATTAATTTCATGACGACACTAAGAGAGAGCAGGATGGTGAGGGGTTACCATGGTAACATTCTTAATACCCCTTCTGACACCCCCTCTCCCTGCGTGTTTGGAGCACTGTTGGTCCAGACAAATCAGACAGGGCTAACTTTGATAGTGGTAAAAATGTTAAAGGCCTAATTCACAAGACAAATTGTTCAGTCTGTCTTTTATGATGAGAGATTACTGAATCAAGTTCCAACCTGCGAAGGCTGTGGTGGCTCCCGAGAGGAGAGGGGATCTGGCACTAACAAAGCCACAGTATTACAGTTTTATGAGCATGCGGCAGTGCCTCAGAGTCCTCATACAGCATCTTGAGCACGGCCGTATAGGAAGAAAGAAACAGATTACAGTGAACTTTGAGACTGAAAGTCCAATTTCAACTAACATTTGAGTTAAAGAGAATTTTATCATAACCCTTCTCGATGACATTCAAAGTTTTTCAGAGCAACCACCATACATCATGCAGAAAATCAACTTCTTTGGAGATATTTTCAATCACCTACCCCTAGAGTCATAGGGGAGAAAAAAAATTGATGGCCACTGTTGATCACACTCGTCCTTGAAGGGTTTATTTTTATAGCTACCTGAGACAGGAATGGGAGCAGAGCAGACTGTAGCCTAGCTACAGATACCTCTGTCTGAAACTGAACATTTATCCTCAGCCTGCTGATAACAGTAGAGGAGATGTGGTGAGCTGCAACATCCTATTATATTCAAATCATCAACTTATGGCCATAAATGCTAAACTCTCAGGGCTATTTTATCATTGCAAATAACAAAATAATGTTAAGGCATATAAAAATGTGTGAAATGTGATGGGTCACTAGTATATATACACTGTATTAAAAAGAAGCATCAAACTTTACCTTGTGACAAATGTTGGCTTCAATCTCTGTGGAGTCCTTTTCAGCCCCAAGTGGCCTTTCCTCCTCTTGGCCTTGATTGTGGCTAATGATGCTCTCTCCACACATTGCATCACTCTTCTCTTGCATTTCCGAAACAATCTTTCCTTCTTCTAGATGTTCCCCTGCTTCTGATGTTCTCTGTTCTGATTTGACCTCTTTTCCTACCATCTCTGACTGTGACTCCACAAGTGTTCTCTGACTCTCCTCGTTCTCCTCCAGTAGATGTTGTGCACTTGCCCCTAAAGTTTCACTCCCTGTCTTCGTTGCAGAAGTTGATATATTTGACTGGGTTCCTTCTAAAGGATGATCTTCCCTGCCACCATCATTCATAACTTGATCCTCCAACTCACTGTAACTTTCTATATGTATGTCCTCTTTGTCTCCTCCAACAGCATCTGTTGTCTTGTCTTCTTCAAAGTCATGCTCGTTTGACTCATTCTGGTGAAATTCTCCTTCACTTATATTCTCATTATCTTCACAGTTTTGATCGGTTTCATCCTCTCGGTTCTCTTCGTCTGTCTCGGTGGTGGGTTGATGTGATGAGCTGATTGTTTTAACACCTTCTCCCATCTCATCATCATCGCTATCATTTAAATTAGAGTCATTTGTGTCCACCATCTCCATTATATCTGATGCCTCATGCTGACTTTCCACTTCCTCCCCTTCAGTGTTAACTTTCTGTCCAACTCCCACCATTTCCATTCCCTTGGATTCTTCCTCTTGTTGCATTTCTAGTATCTTGGTCTGTAAGACCTCTACAGAATACTCTTCCTCTGGCTGTTTCTCCCCAACCTCTTTAATCTGCTGAGCCTCTGGAACATCATCAAAGCTAATCTCAACTAAGGAATCCTCCTTTGGTATAGCATTACTGTCTAAACCCCCTTCTATATGAGCTAAACTTTCATGTATTCCCCCAGAAGAAGCCCCAGTCTCTGTTCCTGCCTCCTCATATGTTTTTTCTCCCTGATCTTCTGCTTCTTGCTGATTTCCCTCAGGGGTTTCAGACTGACACAATGATGATTGTACAACAGTTTCCTTGGGTTGGGGTTTTGAGCTTTCCTCTTCAACACCATGTGTATCATCTTCAGCAGTGGCTCCTTCCATTGTTCTCTCTGTTCCTCCAAGCTCTGATGCACACACATCCACATCAGCTAGCCCCGAATATGGAAAGACCTCCACTGGTTCTTCATCTTCAGTTTTTTCCTCTCCTTCTGAGTCTAAAATCTCCTCATCCACAAATGCAGTTTCTAGTTTATCACCTCCCTCGTCTTCTACCATTCCTAACTCCTGAGCACACACGTCTATACCTGAAACCCCTCTGTATGATAATAAGTCTGTGGGCTCTAACTTAGACTGAGGTATATCTTGGTCTGGAACAGAGATGCTGTCTTTTTCATTAGCTGCCCTGTCAACTTGATCAAATGTAGTTACTGTTGGCTCCTTCTCCTCCTCTGTCCCACTCAGTTCATCTGGCTGTACATCTGAAGTTGGGAGCCTGACGGATTCCTCTTCAGAAAGTCCTTTTTCCATTGAAATAATGTGTTTGTCTGCAATATCGTGTTTGTCTTGTCCTTGTTCTTCTTCTGTGCTGTCAGTAAAATCAACCTCTTCAGAGACATTAGGATGTGTGGTGGAGGGATTTGAGGCTTCTGCTGAATGACTGGATTCATCTTCAGTTTGGGACTCGTATGATTTTTCTCTAAAAAGTACCAATCAAAATTGAAAGCTCAAGTTGAGAAGTGTTCTATGCAACAAGTAGGAAATTTAAGTGATAATAGTGATTTAAGTGATGTTTCTTCAAAACAATACAATGTGATAATGCCTCTGTGACACTCATCTGGAAACTGCGACTGTCTTCCTGCAGCTCTTGTCTTTCGGTCCTGCCCTTTTCTCTCACCATTGACACCGCAAAACTGAAAGCGCTTTCAACACGAACTTATGTTCTGTGGTAATAACAGGCCTCTATTTCACAGTGTATTTTAGCTTGAGAGGTTCTTTACATTGATCTGTCTGAGAAAGCTGAAGCATGACATAGACTTGGTCTGTTCATATACTAAAGTAGATCTTACATGCTACTGTATTTGTTTTAAAAAACTTAACACATTATTTTAACAAATATACATGATTATTTTCTAGCATTTAAAAAGGACATGTCCTATGTCCAAACCTCATGGCAGGTGAAGCTGTTGGGTGTTAAGTTTTTTTTCCATAATGCTATTTCCTAATCAGGGCAAAAAACAACAACAACCACCTCTACGAAATACCTCACAGAGTGATTTGAGATGAAAACCTAAATAATAAAGATGAAAAAATATAATATTTTATTCTAATTTCTTCTTCACTTGTGACTATTCTTTCCCTCATGCCCATCCTCTCCCTCTCCTGTTGATCCTCCTGACTGTTGATAGCACATAAATTGAGACTCACTTGTAAAAGGCCACCTCTGTTGCAGGCTCTTTTTCAGGACTAGCCTTGGGGTGGAAAAAAAAAAAAATAACAACAAAAGTATAATGGTAAATAAACAGAGAGAGGCGTTGATAAACTGAGGAAACATTTGTATGGTAAGAGTAATAGCTTATATACTGTAGGTTGATTTAGTACCCCAGTGGCCTTGAATGCATTGTTGTTATAGAATCTATCTTCCAGTTTAGCAGCCCACTCAGCAGGGTCCATGCCACTATCTACAAGCAAAAAATAAATTATTTGACAGCAATTAATGGCATTTGCCTAATTTCACCACATAAAAAATGCAGTTACCTTCTCTTTGTTGGAGAAGAGTGTCGAAGTACTGTGCAGCATATTTAGGAATGTCTTCAGGCTGGTCTCGTAGGACTTCTCTGGCCAGTCCCTCCAGGATGGTACCAAACCCTCGCGGGACACGCAGGTGAGTGTTGGAGAAAGGCACTGACATTTTTTACGATACACTGGAGGCGATGACTTTTGTGACAGCTGGGAAGTCTGACCAGGAGAAGCCGAAGTTGTTTTCAGTAATTTATTTTCTTCCTAATGTTTAAGTTAGCGTAAATGGGGAGAAAGGCTTGCAAAAACTGGGGACTTTCTATAGAATAGATGCAATATAATTGTTAGTAAGTTAGCTATCTTCTCGTCACACACTACTTAAATTGCTTCAATGTATATTCAGACAGATTTAGAAAATGTGAAAACATAACGTTATGTTATTATTTATAGCCACGTCTTTACCTGAAATGACTTGCACTTCCTATCCACCTTGATTTTTGAATGCTAACCCTAGGCTAACAAAAGTTAGCCACGGCGTTTTGTTGATAACTGTTTCTAGGCAACTCTTGTAACTACGGACGGTGATAAGGCTCAAATGTCACAAAACTCACAGGATTTTATTGAATATAAAATCGGGTACATTATAAACATAGCGCACGTAACAAAACAATGTAAAAGGTACATATAAACCAGCAAAAAAAACAAACAAAACGGGGACGTGTATTAGCATGTTTAACAAAAACAAATGTGTATTTTTCTTCTCCCTCTCCTTTTCCAGCTGCAACGACCTCAGTCAGGCATATGTGATGACTGCATACTCAGAGTTGGTGCTCATCTTGCGGTTGACCTCTCTGGGGTGGGGGACATGCAGTCTGTCAGCTGAACGTGAGGCCTGCAGGTGAGACCTTGATTCATCTCCCCACCACTGGAGGACAAGCAGAGAAAAACTCATGTAGGAGATAGCAATACTGGTTCAATACTTTTCGAGGGCTCCCCTAGTGTGTGTACTTACATCAGTAATAGTAAAAGATAAAGCTGGTTGTCTGTCTTTGAAAAGTGACAGAAACACATTTATTCTAAGTAAGCACTTGTTTTACTCCAAAAGGTATTTGGTTTACTAGTATATATTAACCTTGCAATCTGCAGATGTGTAAACCAACATTAAAATCAATGACAATCATAAAGTAAACTAACTTTTAAACAACATATCTCTTAAGTTGCCAGTTTAATAAATCCTACCTTCATGAAGGTTATAATCAGTTTTTAAAAACTGTTTTAGACATGTGTTTTTGGTCATTTTGAAGGCTGTAGTTTGTGGTGCTGTTGAACTGCATTGCGTCATACTGAGAGATGTTTCTAATATTTAGATCCTTGTTGACATAAATACTAATAAACTGGCAACTGACTGTATGTTTATTTATACTATTCTGTACATTCAATACTTATGGAATGCACAAAACTGTTTAAACAAGTAAGATAAACTTAAGAAGTATTAAAACAAAAGTTTTTTGTTTGGCGCCTCCAAAGTGACAGATGCTCACTACGTGCATTAGCTCCTTACTTCACCTGAGCTGTCTATAAAGCACAGCCAAGTAACCGCTTGTTCATTTAAGTTGAAACATTCTAGGAATTCATTGTGCATCCTTGTATACCAACAGCAGTAAACTATAAGTGATCACCATAACATAGGTATTTACCAGCTTTAGATACATGTACATGATCTTCAGTTGAATACGCTTGTTCAATAAATTTGGATTTCAGTAAGATAAAAGTTTCTCACCTCTTTTTGATCTCCAGGAGCCAAGTAGCTGAGCTGAGTGAGCTCTGGTGTGCTGACCCCTCGGACAGTGATCATTATATCGGCATACGGAACCTCAGTGTCACTCTCATTATCTGGGTCCAGAAGATTTATCAATATATTAGTAAATCTTAGTCTTTGTTGTATAGACAGTGATGCTGTGTTACTTATAAAACATGTGCGGTGGTAATCTTGATCATCCTACCTGGTGTAGGAATCCTCAAAATCACTCTTTCGCTTTGTGTGGACAATGACCCTGGGGAACATTACAAGTATGAATGGCATGGCTGCATGTGGAGGCTAAAAATCTTGCACTTTCATTTTGATATTTTGAACTGTTTACCCTTTACTGGTGAGAGGACAGCTTGCAGAGGTGGTGGTGAGCTGAAAGGGTAATGGAAAAAGAAATGAACTTTTTGCAAAATCATAGATTTCTAAATAACAGATTTACCCAAATAGTCATCAAATAGTCATAAATTGTACTCACCCTGACCTAGACACAACAGGCTCTCCTGGAATGTTTATTAACACATTTATTAACAATTATTAACACAATAATATAGAAATAAAATTGCGTGTATTTTCTGTTCTTATTCAGCAATTGTTACTTTGTTATGTTCATAGTGTGATATTGTGTAATAATCACCTTTACAATTCCAGCTCTGTCTGCTCCGGTTCAGACATAGGTAAACGGCCAATGCCGCAAGCACAATGGCCACAGCAAGCGTAACAGTTGCTAAAACCTTAATTCCAGTGAATTCTCCTGTTAACATGGAGATAACAGTATTAATTTGGATTACAGAGACAATGTTTACTTTTCAGTTCCACATATAGATACATAAATATGGGTAAATAATTATATAAAATACAAGCACACATTATCTACATTAATAAACGTCATATTCTATACTGTTTCAAAGTGCCATCTCACCTCCACTTGAATCTTTTGGCTTAGGAGAAGGAGATGCTGAGAAATGTAGAAAATTGCATATGCAAATAAAAGTGATGTATAAAAATAATGTAAAGTTGCAATTGTGGAGTTTTTATATTTTTTTTAATATACATGGTCCTTACCATTTTTGGTTTCAGTCTTAGGGTTAATTGTACAGTTTGGGGCACTTGTTTGAACTGGAGAAAAAAAACAAAAGAAAGAAACATTGCAATTAAATCTACCTTTGGTTTTGTAACGATTGCTTACTTATTGCTTGAAGTAATTGCCAAAGACAAGATGTATGTTATGATAATGTGTATCTACCTTGAAGTTTCAGTAAAACTATACGCTCTATTTTTTGTGGAAGTTGAGTGTCATCTGTGTGTTGTGTGTAGCAAGTGTAGTTTGTCGTGAGATCTTCAGTGGACACATTTAATAGATGAAGAGACGTTGTGCAAGAGTTGATTCTCCCATGACAGCCAGAGTTGTCTGATGATTTACTCCAACAGCCACGAACAAATCCAGCGGAGCAATTGTAGGTGCAGTTTAATGTAAGAGATTCCCCTAACGCTACAGTCACAAAATCAATGGGTATCTTCATATTAACACAGCTCACATAATCTGCAAAGAGAGGACATTTTATCTACTTTTATATAAAACATTATGTTACATTAAACACCAAGCACACTATTTATAGATGAGTGCAAAAGTCCAGTCCAATGACAAAGAGTATATATACTTTACCTTGTGTCACCTGAAAAAAGAGCAAAGTGAAGAGGACTGAGATCATCATTGTTGCTCCTCTGTTGTTCACAAAACACACAATCAAATATCTTTTGCTCTCGTAGTGTGGTGATGCTTGCACCTGCAGCAAAATACCCATACATATGCTCCAACCCGTGGGTAAGGCAACAGGATGTGGCAAACAACAGGATTCAGAGCAGTGTAAAAATAATTCTTTCCATTTATTGCACCTGACTTCTTGCACATTAAAGTTCTGTTGAAAATGTAGGACAAAAGCATATTCTCAAACGTGATCATACATAAAGGACACACTGATGTCTAAATAAACAAATTTTCACTATTGCATTAGTGCATACATTTTGCACCTGGCTTGAAAAACTGATGCAGTATATGAGAATGTGGTTTACACATACATTGCAGCTTACTCTCTGCTCGAACAGATGACATGCCTGGCATTCATTTCCCAATAAGTCTGAATAATTCCCCACTCTTTTGAAGACAAAAAGGGGGTCTTTTGTGAAGCATTCAACATTAGATTAATTTAATTGATTCCAGAAATCCATCAGATTTGTCCCATCTTTCTGATATTTTAATCTCTTTGTAACCTCTAAGTGAATTAAACAGGAAATATAAATAATTGAAGTGATCAGAGACAATATCTGGGTTAGCTTTAGAACAAGCTCATACATTATGAAAATGGCAGGTACAGTTACAGAACATCATTGCACACCCTTATCAGGTAGAGCAATCACAAGGGAATCACGTTGCGTGCTCTTGTTTCACTTTCAGCCACAGAGGGCCTCTCACTTTCATCCCTTTAAACAATCACTCGTGTAGGCTCAGACCAAACAGTCTTGAATGAAAATACACAAAAAAAGAGAAACAGTGTGGACCTGATTAGAGATGCATTGATAATGTGCTCTTGGAAAATTATGCATCTGTTCTGTTTTTCAGCTTCATGGATTTTCCTGCTGCTGACACAGTCTGGGCTCACCTCAGGTAAGAGCAATGGTTGTATGAAGTTATATAGTTGTTTTTTTACAGTATGCTTAACAAATTAAGGTAATGTAAGAAGGAACAAAGCCACCTTGACTAAACAGTCTAAGATATTGATTAATGACAGACCTCTACATCCTTCCTGACATTAGAGTCGTCTGAAGGGAGTGCAGACGAGCCCTTCGGTGAAGGGACAGACATGGGTCATTGTCCAGAAGGAAAATACTTCTCCCACCAGCTGTGTTTAGAGTGTCCCACTGGCCATTTGTAAGTGATCACCCATCTTTGAAATGACTGACCTGTATACTTTTATGATGGTCACTATAAAAATACATAGATAAGAACTTAATATTATGAGATACATTATTTTTGCTACTTTGAGGAATCACATGAAAGAATTTCAAATATTTATTTTAAAAAATAAATGTGTTTACGCACTACTGGTGGGGCAATTAACTGTAATATAGACAGTAACTTAATACATTTCTGTTATATAGTTGTCCTGGCAATGTATCGGCACCTCACAGATGTCCAGTGGGAACATTCAACCTCTACACAGGGAAAGACAGTATCAGTGACTGCAAGGTAAGAGACAGCTGCAGGTGAAAGCCTCATCATACAACCGTGGTTTGCAAATTTTCTTTCTGTCATGCCATCCTTTGAAAGCCGAAGAAATCACTAATTTCCCTTGATGGTCTTTGTAGTAGACCTTCTTCACAACAAACTTGTCATGGGAGGGAAAGCACAGTTGGAACCTATAACCCTAATGAAGACTTTGCTCCAGCAATTATTGCAGTGCAGTGCAGTGCAGCAATTAATGATGATTGTGTTTGACATGTCAAAATGTCCGCTGGGAAAAGGGTCTAATTGTACTGTGCTTGATGCTGTATTGTTGTCATTGTACTGATTGTACTAATTTCTGTATGTTGCAGCCTTGTTTTCCAGGTCTGGTCAGTTCAGAGGACAGAGTGGACTGTAGGCTGTGTCCTGCAGGTTTCTCATGTGATCCAGCCAGCGGGACCCTATCTTTATGTCCCCAAGGACAACATTCACCTGAGGGGGTTCTACAGTGTCTGACCTGCCCTGTAGATTCTGTTTGTACCTCTGGGTTTCCTTTTAAGGTGTTACAAATTACAATTTCAAATCCAAAAAAACTGTTGTATTGAAAACGTCTAATTTGTCTTTATAAATGGTTGTTAAAATGTATCTAATAATTTGAATTAATCAAAGTGATATGCCTTTTCTCCTTGCTCCTTTATTCATCTCTTTTTTGCACCTTATAGTGTGGGCCCGGCAAGGAGCCCAACGTAGATCACACTGTTTGTAATGACTGCCCCCCAGGCTTCTACTCCACTGTGTGTACTATCCAATGTTTGCAGTGTCCAGCAGGTAGTGGAGTAATAAAATTCTATTAACATATCTAATATGCTTTTATTGCTGTGTTAGTTTGTTATTAAAAAGGTCCCACAACAATTCAAAATGTGTCCCCTTTTGCCCTAGGAAGTTACTGTCCAGACAGTGGGATGTCACAGCCACTCCCCTGTCCTCCTGGTTGGTCTTCCACACGTGGGCAGACTTACTGCCGTGGCTGCAATGATACGTCTTTGCTGTGTGGGGGAGCTGTGGCCCCCCGCTGGAGCCAACCAGTCCACAGGTCCAGCCAGTCAATCACCTGTCGACCAGGAACATACAAAGATACGAGGGAGTTAGCATGTGTGGTTTGTCCAGTAGGTTAGTGTTTATCACTGCACATAGCCATTTATATTTCAGTTTCCTTTCTTCCTGGAAGAAGCCAATATGTATTGGTACGTTTGTCTTGGTCCCAGGTCATTACTGTGTGGGGGGTGTAGCTGTCCTCTGTCCTGCAGGGACTTATGGCTCTAGAGAAGGTCTGCAGAGGCTGAGAGACTGCACAATCTGTCCTGCAGGTAGAGTTGATAGTGGCAAGCCTTCTATATTGTTATACTCAGTACATACTATATACAGTTTCACATCCAAGACTACCTTCTAAATTGCAGTTCTTAAACTCTGATAGGCCAATTTTAAGTGTTTGTCATGCATTTCCCATATGATATCGTGTATAAAACAAACCAAAATACTTTGTTATGGACTTCTATATAAATTCTTTTCTCTAGGGTTTTACTGTCTGGAAGGAAGCTCACAGAGACCCACCTCCCAGTTCCTGTGCCCACAGGGCTATTACTGTGAAGAGGGCACCGCCACCCCTCATGGGTCACCTTGCCCTGCTGGTACAGCGGGGGAACAACTGGGTCAGACAAGTAGGGCAGCCTGCAAGAGATGTAGAGAAGGACGCTTCTGTCCTGCAGGTAAGTCTTAGCACAAAAAAACTGACTTCAATGGAGACAGATACTAAAAAAAAATGTGAAATGTTCATTCTGAGTGTGTGTGCCTATGACAGGCTCATCAGGGCCTGGCTTGCCCTGTGCTCGGGGGAGATACTGTCCTGCTGGCTTGGAAGAAGTGATGTGTCCTCGAGGCACCTTCACCCCTCATCAAGGAGCAATAAGTGAGTTTATATGCCCTATTATTACTGTTTTATACTCGCTATCAATAAAGTCAATGAAGTTATATTTCATATTCACAGGCATTGATTTCCTCCTCCTGCATAATGGACCTGAGGCCATTTATTTATAAGTGTAATAATTTTTTTTTGGGAACAGCCCTACAGTCCATCTGCAGCTCAGCTTGGTGCTATAGCAGTCTATCATCGGAAATCTCTGTCATTATATAAAGATGTATGTGTTGTTTAGTTCCCATGATGAAGCAGAATATATGGATGAGACGTTGCAACAGATGGATGCCAACAGGGCAAAGAGACAAAATGTCTCATTTAACAATAATAATTCTAAAACTCAACTGTTGATGGCAAGCTGGAGCTTTGAGTCCAGTAAAGAAAAAATAAGGGAAACCTAATTAACATGAGCGAGGACTATAAATATATAGGCCACAAAAACTCCATTTGATAACTTTTCAAATGCAGCAGACATCCTAATAAAGTTGGCCTGCAGTGTATTCTAACCCTACATTCATATTGAGATGACAACAACATGTTTGTAAATATTCCCTTCAGGTGTGAAGGACTGTCTTAAATGCCCAGCTGGTTTTTACTGTCCAGTGGGGACAAGCGACCCTGTTCCCTGTCCACCAGGCTCCTTTAACCCCTTAGAGGGTCAGGATGACTTGGCTGATTGCAGGGAGTGCTATGCAGGGAAGGCCTGCACACAGGTAGCTCTGAGAGCCCCCGATGTGGACTGCATGCAAGGGTGAGTAACCTCTTCAGATCCTCATCAGTAACGTGTTTCAGTGTAAACCTGTGTTTGCAGTGTCTGTCTGATTCAAACAAGTACTGAGACTTTCACATGCTGGGAAAATACTCTTTTTTTTAAACCTGCCTTGAAATTGATACTCCATGATTCTGACAAATTTGCCTGAATCTTGGTAGGTTTGTGTGTCCTCCTGGTTCCTCTAAACCCAACGATCCGACCAATGCCTGCCCACCAGGGACGCTGAGCAATCGCACTGATCTCACTGACCGCTCACAGTGTCAGCAGTGCCCAGCACGATTTGCCTGTTTTCGAGGTGACATTGTTCTTCCACTCGTGTTCAGTTGGACTTTTAAAGCACTTTTTGATATTTAGTATCATAGTATCATAGAAATTAATTTAGTTGCCGATGCCAAATAGAGCTGGGTGATCTATCAATAAAATACTCTATATAGAGGATTTTGGGACATACAACATATTGAGTTTTTACCTAGAAGGGTGCATTATGATTATGTTACACAAATTTAGACCTAAAGTTATATCAATAAAATCTATTTTATTTTCATTGTTGAAAGGCTTTCCCACCTTGATGCCTATATTACTTACGCTTTGTCAGGAACTGGTGGTATCCAGAGACCACCACTCTCCTGCTTTCCAGGGCATTATTGCCCCCCTGGAACTATGTTCCCCACCCAGTACAAGTGTCCTGTAGGGACATGGAGTAGTCAAAGTGGATTGGAAGATGAAAGTGAGTGCCGGCCATGCCCACAGGGTTGGTACTGTTTGGCTGGGTCTGGAACTCCGTCAGGTCGATGCAGCTCTGGACACTACTGTCCCGAAGGTAC